ATATATATATATGGCTGGAATAACAGCACGGGGGTAAAAGCCGCTCACATGAAGCAGACATGAGATTTTATTTTTAGGAGTCTCTGCCTGTTAATCAGTGGCTGTTATTTAAAAACAACAATGGATCATGAGAAAAGGGGCCAATGCTGATGGGGTGGGTTGTAGATGGCAAAGCAGTGGATTTTTGATTGTCAGGATGGAGGACAGATGGTATGTTTGAAGGAAACTGAACAAGTATGACAAATCTCAGACTGGGTGAAGAGGAGACATKGAGGCGGTTTAGCTTAGTTTTCAGTGACTCACTGACTGGATTGGACAAGAGGAGTAATCGCCCAGAGCTTGAAAAACAAACAAAAAGAAAATCAAAGATCTGAACACTCTGCACAAATAAACTTGTAGGGATAATTTGACATTGCATCATACACACCATGGCCTGGACATTGACATTGCCCATTTGTTTCAGTTTTAAACAGAAAAAAAAACTCAAGCTGCTTTCTGTTTAGGTGAACAACTTGGCAATGGAAACTTAATGGAACTCTGTTAAAGAGAAAGGTGTTGACTGAGCTTCTTGCTAATTAAGGTATCCCATTTGTAAAAACAGTGCCGCTTGTTGCTTAACCCCCATTTCAAATTAAKCCAGGATGCATATTTTGAGTTCCTTCCAGTGAGACCTGATATGCCATGCAGCTCTGCAAGAATGGCCAAGATGTCAAACATTAGCTGTATTTTTCAGTGACTATTTTAGGCCAGGATAAAGTTCGTCCCATCGCTTTTTTCCCCCCAACATGAGTAAAATTGAGGAAAGAGAATCTAATATGTTGCAGTTGGATCCACAAGGATGACAACCTGCTTTAGCACTGACCGTCAGAAAGGTCAGCCTCCATGTGTGGCATTTGGTCTGTGACAGAAGTGACCCAGACATTGTGCCATCTCCAGCTTTAGCAGCAAGGTTTCAGAGGAAGCCCGCTTCCATCCGCAGAATCTGTTACAAGCCAACATTGTGACGAGCTGCATGGCTGGAGTGAACAGCAGGGTGATCGTTGGTGTCATTCTAAAAGACTGGACCTGTGTGGCTGGAAATGAGACCAACGCACTGAAGAGTCAAAGGGTTGCAAGTGGCTCAAGATAGAAATGGATGCAGTCAAAACAAACGCTGGATCACTGCTTCCATTATTAGTGAGCATGATTACCTGGTGAAAGATTTTACAAGCTTGGCATTAGGGAACATGTTCTAAGAAACGGGGCTACTGTACATGGGCGGTGCATGACAGTGCACGAACGGTGGACCCTGATTGGTTCTGTGACCATAGCTTGAACAGAGAGCATAATCAAAGCCACTAATCCAAATGACAACAAAGGAGCCTGATCCATCACACTGAGCCCCTCATTTAGAAATAACACATGCATTTGTCAAAACACGTCTTGTGATCGTTCAGAACGCTCAAATAAATCTGAGCTTGAAATCCTACAACACAGATCAGAGGACGTCTCCATTTTGTAAAGGACTCCGCTTCATTTTGGAAGTATTTCAAAGAACAGATGTGATTGGTTATTTCATTGACTTGTTGCCACTGGCAACATAATATTTTTTGTGCTGGGATATTGTGATACTTGGAAATGAAAGGCAGTTGAGGAAGAAAAAAAGTGACAGAAGAGAAGATTAAACTTTTTTCATCATTTGTGAGAATTTTGAGGGGCGTTTGCTGAACTAAGCAATTAAGTGTTTAGCTGGAAGCTCGGGGCCAGCTTCTGTGTCCTTTTAGGTTGAAAAAGGTGGACGTTTTGTCATTTTTTTACAACTCATTTTCACTCCAACGAGCTCCACTATATGTGTGGGCAAATTGAACCTTGCTGCTGCCTTGTCCTTGCAGTGACAGGTAAATATACACCTCCGTCCAAACACATGTCCCACATTGTCTCCATGTGACTTATGGGAGGTCAGCCTGAACTGGATCGATGTTGCAGTTCATTTTTATAGGCCTGATGATGTCATGTTGCTGTGTGTTTGGGGTTATGGGTCCACAAACCTGTTGCTGCAAGAAAGCAACAATCACAACCATTGACTCAGACTGTGGTGAGGCAACATGCGAGGGAGTTTTACACGTTTTGAAGGTAGATTTGAATCTTGCTCTGCACATCACTCTGCTGACAGCATCCCAATCCCAGAGGGATCATCACGGGGTCACAGAACAGGGAGGAATGAATGGAGCGGCGGAGATGTTGTCATTCAAATGGAATGGATCACTTGAACCCCGCTGCACGTTTGTAATGACCCTGTGTGTGTGGGGGGAACTGTAATG